TGTATTTAATAATGTGTTTTCCTTGGTGGGCAAATTTGCAAATCACAGGTCAAAGCCTCGAGGTCGGAGCTGGCATGTTTAGGCCATGGTAGCAAGATCCATGTTAGCGGTTCAGTATATTATCCCCATTATTTCAGATTGAGGCTTCCAGCCACCAACCGTGTGAGTAGCATGACCATTTCATATCTAACCATTGCTGAAATAAGATTTTTGATGTGTGCCCGTGGCCTCCCTATTTTTTGCAATTTTTTTGTACAATCTTATTACCTCTTTAGTCATACTACTGATACTCCGGAATCAGCATATTTTTTCTTTTGGTAAAGTTTGAAAAATAAGCATGTAAAGCATCGATTGTTGTTTGTGTATTGAGAATCATTTTATTGAAGCAAACAAATGGTTTGTGCACTGGCAATCATTTTATTGAAATAAACAAAGGGTTTGTGCACTTGCAAGTTTAGATCAGGCCTTGCTCGGATTATTGTTAATACGTAGAGCATGCAAAAAGTTGTGGTATTAAAGTAAATGTTTTTGTTATTTTGTCACCTTCAATGCTTGAATGATATAGATGTCATAGATGTTAAAATTTGAGTGCACTAATTCGGACTCTGTTATATGAAACAAGAAATATATTCAATTGTAGTGCCAGACTGCACAACCATGTGGCAGTGGTGGAGAATCTGGATAATAGAACTGAATGATTCTGTTAAATACAGGTTGGAGTGATTAGGTTAAATGCAGGTTGGAACCATGTGACTTTGGTTTTGCATGTTCCATACATAAGGAACAAGATCCACTAACCATGGGCATAAAAATAAACTATACTGGGATCACAAACACATCTTCAAGGATGATGGATCAAAACTTTGGTTTCTCTTTCTCTTTCTATAGTATCATGTACATTTATACAGTATAGTGTATACACATGGGAACATTGTATGAAGATCAGCTATTCCTTAAAAGGCGGATGCCAATCGGAGGTCGTCAAGAGTGACTTGGGAGTATCTATGAGCTAAGGATGTTGAGTAGAGAAACTCTGCTCTGGACTAACTTCCTGAACAGATGTCCTGCTCCGATCTCAAGATGTACGATACTGCACTCTAACTCTGACAATTGCTCTTCCTTGCAGAAAACTGACTTCTTTTTGTGAAATGCCTTGAAAACAAGAGACTGTTTAGGCATTTCAATTTGCTTCGACAAGAGACGGAGTGTGGACTCCAGCAGAGAGACAGAGATCTCCCTGGCCTTGGCCAAGAGCATGACCATCCTGCAATCTACAGAAGTCTTCTTCGCGGTCTTCTTGAAATGATTCTTGGCCTTCTTCGCCAAGCGGGTGTAAGACTGGATCTTGGCTTGAGTAGCTGCATCATCCCCTTTCCTTAGAGCCACTTGCAGCTCTTGGATGATGGCCTTCATCTCGGCGAAGATCTCTTGCATGACGCTGCAGAGATCTAGCAGCTCAAGAGAACCTTCCATTTCTCCATCCAACATGTTCCTCTGCTGGGAGGAGAAAACATGGTGGCTTGGTAGGCAAATAATCTCTTCAAGACCATCGTAGATGTTTGCAAGATTCCTGAGACCATCGCACATCATGCTGATGGAATTGGAGGAAGAGATGCTTGCTTCTAGGCTGTGAAGCTCTTGCTCGACTTGGGTCTCACTGACGTGAGGCCTAGAAGGCAAACTTATCGATCTTTGGTGGAAAGCCATATCTGAGCTTGAAGCTTTTCTCAGTATATATTGTGGTTGATGAAGAGTTGAAGAAAGGAACACTTATTTGTTTGATGTGTCTACTGCTCTGCTGAGGCCTATTTATACAGAAATGTAGAAGCAGTAGCATTTGATTGGTAGACACGAAGAATCATGCAATTACATCTCCCACATGCTGTCTGCTATGCCTTGACATTTTTTAAGCACAAGCATAGACATTGGAATCCTAAAGTCGTCTCATGTTTAGTACATTGTTTTATGTGTCTACTGTCCTTGCTATGGGCCATTACATTATTATGTTCCAGCAATTGGCAACAAGAACCAGCAGTCCAGTTTAGTCTGATGGTGGATCTTGGCATAATTGCTTACCAAAGCCATTATTTAATGGATTGCTAACCTAGCATTTTGCCGTGGAATGCCTGTATTTAATCAGGTGTTTTCTTTGGTGGGCACCCTTGCGAATCACAAGTTAAAGCTTCGATGATCAGAGCTGGCATGTTTAGGCCATGGAAACAAGATCCATGTTAGTGGTTCAGCGTGTTACCCTGTTTTTTCAGTTTGAGGCTTTCAGCCACCCACCATTTCATATCTAACGAGAAATGAGCTTTTGTTGTGTGCCCGTGTCCACCCTATTTTTTCCGATGTTTTCGTAACACCTTATTACCTCTTGGTCAAACTAACTGATTCTCGAACACTACCATCTCTACTTTTGGTAAAGTTTGAAATAAGCATATAAAGCATTGTTTGTTCTTTGTGTTTCGAGAATTATTATATGGAGAAGAACAAAGACTTTGCACACTGGCAGGTTTGGATTAGGTCTTGCTCAGATTATTGTTAATTCTGTAGAGTATTTTTTTGTTATTACGATGTTAAAATTTGAGCACTAATTTGGACTTTGTTGTATGAAACCAGAATTATAATTAATTGTAGTGCCAGACTGCACAGCCATGTGGTGGCGCTGGAGAATCTGGATAATACAACTGATTGATTCTGCAGACTACAAGTCTGGACCGTGTGACTTTGATCTGGCTTGTTTCATGCATAAGGGACAAGATCCACTAACCAAGGTTATCAAAATTAAGTATACTGGGAACACAAGCACATAAGTTCAAGTATGAAAAGGTCAAATGGATCAAAACTTTTGTTTCTCTTGCTACAGTATCATGTACATTTCTACTGTATAGTGTATACATAGGGGAAAATTGTATGAAGATCAGCTATTCCTTAAAAGGCGGATGCCAATCGAAGGGTGTCAAGAGTGTCTTGGAAGTATCTATGAGCTAAGGATGTTGAGTAGAGAAACTCTGCTCTGGACTAATTTCCTAAACAGGTGTGCTGCTCCACTCTCAAGATCTCCGATACTGCACTCTAACCCCAACAATTGCTCCTCCTTGCAAACAACTGACTTCTTTTTGTGAAATGCCTTGGAAACAAGAGACTGTTTAGGCATTTCAATTTGCTTCGACAAGAGATGGAGTGTGGACTCCAGCAGAGAGACGGAGATCTCTCTGGCCTTGGCCAATAGCATGACCATCCTGCAATCTGCAGAAGTCTTCTTCGCGGTCTTCTTCAAATGATTCTTGGCCTTCTTCGCCAAGAGGGTGTAAGATTGGATCTTCGCTTGAGTAGATGCCTCATCCCCTTTCCTTAGAGCCACTTGCAGCTCTTGGATGATGGCCTTCATCTCGGCGAAGATCTCTTTCATGGCGCTGCAGAGATCTAGCAGCTCGAGAGAACCCTCCATTTCTCCATCCAACATGTTCCTCTGCTGGGAGGAGCAAACTTGGTGGCTTGGTAGACAAACAATCTCTTCAAGACCATCGTAGATGCTTGCCAGACTCCTGAGACCATCGCACATCGTGCTGATGGAATTGGAGGAAGAGATGCTTGCTTCTAGGCTGTGGAGCTCTTGCTCGACTTGGGTCTCACTGACGCGAGGCCTAGAAGGCAAACTTATCGATCTTTGGTGGAAAGCCATATCTGAGCTTGAAGCTTTTCTCTGTATATATTGTGGTTGATGAAGAGTTGAAGAAAGGAACACTTCTTTGTTTGATGTGTGTACTGCTGTGATGAGGCCTATTTATACAGACATGTAGAAGCAGTAGCATTTGATTCGTAGACACGAAGAATCATGCAATTACATCTCCCAGATGCTGTCTGCTATGCCTTGAGATTTTTTAAGCACAAGCATAGAGATTGGAACCCTAAAGTCGTCTCATGTTTAGTACATTGTTTTATGTGTCTACTCTTCCTAAGATGGGCCATCACATTATTATGTTCCAGCAATTGGCAACAAGAACCAGCAGTCCAGTTTAGTCTGATGGTGGATCTTGGCATAATTGCTTACCAAAGCCATTGTTTAATGGATTGCTAACCTAGCATTTTGCCGTGGAATGCCTGTATTTAATCAGGTGTTTTCTTTGGTGGGCACCCTTGCGAATCACAAGTTAAAGCTTCGATGATCAGAGCTGGCATGTTTAGGCCATGGAAACAAGATCCATGTTAGTGGTTCAGCGTGTTATCCCTGTTTTTTCAGTTTGAGGCTTTCAGCCACCCACCATTTTATATCTAACCATTACATAAACAAGCATTTGTTGTGTGCCCGTAGCCACCCTATTTTTTCAATGTTTTGTACAATCTTATTACCTCTTGAACATACTAACTGATTCTCGAACATCCCCATATTTATTTTTGGTGAAGTCTGAAATAAGCATACAAAGCATTGATTGTTCTTTGTGCATTGAGAATTATTATACGAAAAGGAACAAAGACTTTGCACACTGGCAAGTTTGGATTAGGTCTTGCTCAGATTATTGTTAATCCTGCAGAGCAAATGTTTTTGTTATTACTTTGCCTGAAATGCTTAAATGATATACATGTCGACGATGTTAAAACTTGAGCACTAATTTGGACTTTGTTGTATGAAACCAGAAATATAATTAATTGTAGTGCCAGACTGCATAGCCATGTGGTGGTGGTGCTGGAGAATCTGGATAATAAAACTGATTGATTCTGCAAACTACAAGTTGGGACCGTGTGACTTTGATCTGGAATGTTTCATGCATAAGGGACAAGATCCACTAACCAAGGTTATCAAAATTAAGTATACTGGGATCACAAGCACATCTTCAAATATGAAATGGTCAAACGGATCAAAACTTTTGTTTTTCTTGCTATAGTATCATGTACATTTCTACTGTATAGTGTATACATAGGGGAAAATTGTATGAAGATCAGCTATTCCTTAAAAGGCGGATGCTAATCGAATGGTGTCAAGAGTGACTTGGGAGTATCTATGAGCTAAGGATGTTGAGTAGAGAAACTCTGCTCTGGACTAATTTCCTGAACAGATGTCCTGCTCCACTCTCAAGATCTATGATGCTGCACTGTAGCTTTGACAGTTGCTCTTCCTTGCAAAAAACTGACTTCCTTCTGTGAAATGCCTTGGAAACAAGAGACCGTTTAGGCATTTCAATTTGCTTCGACAAGAGATGGAGTGTGGACTCGAGCAGAGAGACAGAGATCTCTCTGGCCTTGGTCAAGAGCATGACCATCCTGCAATCTTCCGAAATCTTCTTCGTGGTCTTCTTGAAATGATTCTTGGCCTTCTTCGCCAAGCTGGTGTAAGATTGGATACTGGCTTGAGCAGCCGCATCATCCCCTTTCCTTAGAGACAGTTGCAGCTCTTGTATGATGGCCTTCATCTCGGCAAAGATCTCTTGCATGGTGCCACATAGATCTAGCAGCTCGAGAGAACCGTCCATTTCTCCATCCAACACCGTCCTCTGCTGGTAGGCACAGACTTGGCTGCTTGGAAGGCAGATGATCTCTTCGACGCCATTATAGATGTCTCCAAGCCTCCCAGACCCTCGCACATCATGCCGATGGTCGTGGAGGAAGAGATGCTTGCCTCTAGGCTCAACATCTCTTCTTCAATCTCGGTCCCGGTGGGGTGAGGCCTAGAAGGCAAACTTATCGATCTTAGGTGGAAAGCCATGTCTGATCTTGAAGCTTTTCTCTAATTTGTGGTTGAGGAGAGGAGCAGAAAAGAAGAGCTTATAGCTTGATGTATCTACCGTTCTGCTGACGCCTATTTATGCAGAAGGTATGTTCAAACATGTACTGTAGCATCTGAATGGTAGACATGAAGAATCATGCCATTGCATCTCCCAGATGCTGTCTACTATGCCTTGAGATCTGCCAGAAGCATGGAGATCAGAACACTAAAGTCATCTCATGTCTGCTACATTTTTTATTGTGTCTGGTGTCCTCGAGAAGAACCATCACATTGTCATGTTCCACTTATTGGCAGCATGACTAATTAAGAGGGGCATAGTTTGGTGGTGGATCTTGACATAATTGCACGCTGAAGCTATTATCTAGTGGAATGCTGCTCGCTACTGGCATGTTCTTCATTTAATCGGCTATTTTTTCTTTTGATGGATACTCATGATAACCACGGCCGGTGCCTCATAATTTGGAGCTGGCATTTTCATGTATCGGAAAACAAGATCCAATGCGCCTTTTATTTTGTTCAACATTGTGTCCCCATCTTTTCAGTTATATCGTATCAAACAATGACATAAACAAGGTTTTGAATTGTGACCTTGCTCACCAATCTCTTTTCAATGTTATGCGATGCTATTTCTTTTTGGTTATACTAATTGATTCTCAAACATCATTGTGGGTGAAGTTTGCCATCCTATCAGATTGTTTTTCTTTTTAGGTTATTTCTGTTGCTAGCCAAATTGTTCAGTTCTACGACTGAGGTCACTAGCCAAATGGCATAGATGCTAAACGAATCCTGTTTGCTAGTAATTTTGGAGCTTTCTGCCAGTATACAAGGTCTCGTAATAATTTGTAATGTTGGCACAAACGTAGTTACATAATAATTTGTTGCGCTCTGTAATCGTTTTCTTCCCTGCCTGTTTGGGTGTGTGTACTGTGTCTCTTCTACCTTCTCAATGGAATGAAACACAAGGCTTTTGCGTTTTCTCAACCCAAAAAAAAACGGTAGAATATGCTGCTTATTTTGAAGTCAGTGTTTTACCCAGGTCGGGTCATTGGTATGATGTAGTACAATTTAGAGCACACTTTAAAATTCTGCAACGCGTAAAGAAATGGAGTAATCTCCAATGGGTTATTTTGGGGGGTCGAATTTCTACAAGATTACATTGTTTTACAGTCTGTTTAAAGGATGGTCATTCCTTGGCTGAAATGGTGGCAATTAGAAGATTGGAGTATCTGGCAAATACTCCCAGCAAGAAATCAGGGCATTTGCAATTGCATATTAACTGCAGTCTACTGGTGCGGGAGAAAGTGAATTAGTGATGTCTATGTAGCACATATACTGACAGAATGTAAAATGAAACCAAATAAGTGGAAGATCTCGTAGTTGCAAAATCAACATGTTTCTTAGACAAATAAATGGTGATATTTCATAAGTAGAACATACTTTTGTTGCACTACAAGCACCCAGAATTGTTTTTAGTCATAAAGAGTGGGTGTGCACTGTTGGGGGCGATGCCGGACCAATCCCAACATGGAAGTATAAAAAAAAACCTATACATAAACATAAGTCTCAAATATCCTTCATGTTGAGCGCAGTGGAGTGTAGCAGAGTATTCTGAAAGGTGTGCAACTTCTGAAGGAGACAGAACTCAGATTCGTACCTTGTCTGGTCCATGGGTGCCTGGAGGGTGTTACCCGACAGTCAGGTAGTCATGCCAGTGCCAATCTCCCTACTGAAGTTGGCAAGTTACCGTGCTCATGGAGGCAGTGACTGAAACGTGGGGCATGGGATCGATTCGTCAAACTTTTGCAGCAGAGGATGTTCCCGTGGTCCTCATCATGCCGATATTTGAACAGAGTGAAGATTTGGTCCTGGAAACTACTTGGCATACAAAACTTGAGTGCATGATGTATCTCGCACCTTGATGATTCGCCAGCCTTGTCACCTGAAGTTTCACCCTGTGACTGGAAGCGAACCAGGATGGAATCAAGTATTGACAAGGTACAACAGACACAAAAGTGAAGGGTCCAAATGAAGATGATCCAGAGAATAGCAGTACACTCTTGGGGATTACCACAAAGCTATAACTAGAAGCTCGGTGAGTTAGTCCATGGGTTTTGATGGGATTTCGTTTATGACAATGTCATAAGTGAGCAGACCTACCCTCTATGGCTCACCGTATGAATGTTTCAAAAGCAAATTTGCATAACCCGCCCGTCAACGTCAATGTCATCACAACCACCCCAAGGAAACTTCAGTCAAGATTGGAGGGCAACCAAATTTGCATAAAATAATTGAAGGCCAAGGTCCTGATAATTACCTGATAGTACATAAAGTTCATATCGGGAACATGCGGCTACTAAAGCAGTCCACAAGTAGTAGCAGCTGGTGGTCGTGTGCCCGACCCACTGCCCACAGACTTGCACCCTGGTTTCCATCTTTCAGACTATCATATAGCAAAGTTAGCAACTGGTACAATTAAGTGGAGGCTCAGAATAAAACAACTTGGAAAGCTAGCACAGTGATGGCAGTGTGCATGAATGCCTTCACTAACATGCAGGAAGATTCTTGCCACGTACTTAAATTCAGACATGACTCGGATGAGATACATGCACCCACGTGATTAATCTAAAGTTAATTTAGTCGTGTGTATACACACACACACACACACACACACACACACACAGAGAGAGAGCCATGTTTCCTGCAAGCAATGGCGCGCCCCAGTGGCAGCTTCTCATCATCATCCTCTACGCCGGCTGCTTCCTCCTCTCCTCGCCGCTCGATGCTCCTTGACATGTCGCCGCCGCAACGCCGCCACCCATCTCATTTAGCTTCAACTTCGCCAACTCATCCTCATACGACGCAAAATACCTCAATTTCTCGGGTGACGCGGCCGTGAACGACAGCTTGGTCAACCTTGCAGGCAACTCCATTGCAGCAGTGACTACCGGCGACCGCGGCTTAATGTCGTATGGGCCCCCGTGGCCTTTGTATGACAACACCACCCATGAGGTGGCGAGCTCATGCATGGATGGCTTCACGGGCATGCCCAGACCGGATGACTTCACGGCATCTTCTTCAAGAAATGCTAGGACACCATCAAAGATGACATTATGAGGGTCATACACATCTTTGAGTCCCTACATTCGGCAAATTTCCATTGGCTCAACTCCGCAAATGTGGTGCTTTTGCCCAAAGAGTGGTGCGGAGGGCATCTCCAACTACAAAACCATTAGTCTCATCCATGCTATCGATATTATTGCGAACGTGCTATCCATCAGCCTTGGCCCCCACATGGATGCCCTGGTCTCCAACGTGCAAAGTGCAATCATCAAGAGGGGAAGGATTCACGATAACTTTATGTACATCCGAACTTTGCCCGCTGGTTGCACAAGTGCGGGACCCCCACCCTACTCTTCAAGCTTGACATTCGCAAGGCCTTTGATTTGGTTAAGTGAGAGTACATCATTGATCTTCTACAAAGGAAAGGCTTCCTGACCAAGGTTCGGAATTGGATCACCGTGCTTTTCTGCACATCTTCATCGCGGATCCTCTTGAATGGTGTCCTTGGCCATCCCATGGTGCATAGTAGGGGGCTTCGCCAAGGCGATCCATGCTATCGATATTATTGCGAACGTGCTATCCATCAGCCTTGGCCCCCACATGGATGCCCTGGTCTCCAACGTGCAAAGTGCAATCATCAAGAGGGGAAGGATTCACGATAACTTTATGTACGTCCGAACTTTGCCCGCTGGTTGCACAAGTGCGGGACCCCCACCCTACTCTTCAAGCTTGACATTCGCAAGGCCTTTGATTCGGTTAAGTGAGAGTACATCCTTGATCTTCTACAAAGGAAAGGCTTCCTGACCAAGGTTTGGAATTGGATCACCGTGCTTTTCTGCACATCTTCATCGCGGATCCTCTTGAATGGTGTCCTTGGCCATCCCATGGTGCATAGTAGGGGGCTTCGCCAAGGCGATCCACTTTCACCTCTCATGTTCGTCATTGCTGGAACTAGCAACTCAGAAGGGTCTCCTTCACAAGATTCGTGGGAGAGGTGCTAGGGTGAGAACCTCCCTATATGCGAACAACGCGACCGTGTTCATGACCCCTATCAAGAGGAATATTGATAACCTCGCGACTATTTTAAAGGGGTACAACGAGGTGACTGGTCTTTGCACCAACTTCCAAAAGAGCTCAGTGGTGCCCATTCAATGCAACCAACTCAATTTGGGCCACATTCTGCAGAGATTGCCGGTAACTAGAGCTTCGTCCCCCTTGACATATCTGGGCCTTCCTCTCTCGGTATGGCAGCTCAAGAAGGTGGACCTTCACTTCCTTGAAAACAAGGTGGCGGAAAACTCGTCACATGGGAGGGTCAACATATCACTACTAGTGGCCGCACAACGCTAGTCAAGTCCGTTGTCACTTCGCAGGTGGTCTACTTTACAACACCACTTGTCGTCCTACCGAGCACACCTCGATTTTAACAAGCTTGAGCGGGCCTTTCGTTGGTTCGACTCGAACAACACTACTAGTGCAAAACGCAAGGTGAAATGGGAGGCGGCCTGTCAGCCACTCAAATATGGAGGCTTTGAGGTGCTCAAACACTGATAAAATCGCTATGGCCTTGAGGTTGCGTTGGTCATGGTTTGAATGGAAGGAGCCAGGGAACTTGCAGATTGGTATGGGAAACCGTTATAATGAGGATGACCTTGATTTCTTCTATGCCTCTACCACCATCACGGTGGAGAATGGCGCTAAAACACCGTTCTGGGACTCACCATGGCTCCTTGGACGAAAACCAAAAGATATTGCCCCTCTCATTTTCAAGGCATCAACGAGAAAAGATTGGAAGTTGCGTGAGGCCCTCAAGGAGAATGCTTGCATTTAAAAGATTAAACCATCCACAATTGTTTCTGTCGACCACATAAGGGAGTTCTTCACAATTTGGATGCTTGTGCATGACTTCCATCTTGATGAGCATACCAAGGACAACATCGTGTGGAAACATTCGACAGATGGGCTCTACTCAGCGGCTTCCACCTACAAGGCGCAATTCTTTGGTATGACCTCTCCCCTATGGAACAAATGGTTTGGAAAGTTTGGGCTCCGCTAAAAGTCAAGTTCTTCGCTTGGTTAGCCATACAAGGCCGAATTTGGACCACCCATAGATTGGCCAAGCGAGGCTGGCCAAACTGTGGCCTTTATCCTCTTTGCAAGAGGGAGCGTGAAGCTAGAGCACATCTCTTCTTCAAGTGACGTTTTACAATTTAGCTATGGAACTTGGTCATTGAGAAGCTTGGTCTCGACCACATGTACACTTCTACTTGGCACTTGGAGGATCCCATCAAGTCTTGGTGGGCTAATAGGACCGGGTTGAACATCCCCAGCTAGATGGCCATGGCTTCTCTCACCATGCTTGTATCTTGGACAATTTGGAAGACAAACTCCCGCGTCTTCTGTAAAAAGAGTAAACCGCCGGTGATCTTGCTAAACACTATTTTAGCCAAAGCCAATCTTTGGAGCACCGCAGGGGCTAAGAAGCTAGGCACTTATAGCGCGAGAGTAATCACCATGTGTTGTATGAGAGTCGGTTGTAAAACAAACTCTATTCTCTTCTTAATTAATAGATGAGGCAAATCTTATGTCTCCGTTTCAGAAAAGCTCATGCATGGATACCCCAAAGGGGATGCCATGGCTTTCTTCCTCGTCGGCTAGCCATCGGCGCTACCGCCAGACTCGGCCGGTGATGCCTTCGGCCTCACAAACAAGAAACCTTGGACAACATTGGCATCGACCTCAGCTCCTTCAGACACTCGGTTAACACGACAAGCCTACCTAGCTTCAGCCTGAATGGGACCATGACGGCATCCATCAATTTTAACATCACCGGGATGATGGTCACTAGACTGCACTTCGATGGCTAAAATAGCCTAGACGTGACCGGAAACAAAAACAGCCCACGCCCTGGCGGCAACAACTACAGTCAGAACACATCATCATCATCCGCCGGCAGACCACTCTACTAACTATGCATTAAGCCAGACCATGAGGTAACTGAGTGTTGGCACCATTTTGATGAAAATTATCTTCTCGGCGAACGCCATGTGGCTGCTGCTCTCCGGGAACAAGGAGAAGGAAACATGGTATTGTATGCTGACTCCGGGCTTGAGAAGCTTGCCATCCGCGAGAAGTATTTCGGCAACAACCAAGTACACGCCACCACAAGCGGTTGACGTATGAACACCCATCACATTGGTCAAGCCTCAATTAGTTCCCCAATTGATCTTCTATTAAAAGATGTTCTCCACGTTCCACAAGCCAATAAGAATCTTGCTTCTATGTCTCGCTTAACAACCCATAACAATGTATTCTTTGAAACTCATCCTAAATATTATTTTTATAAAGGATCGAGCAAAATGCACCAGATGACCTTACCCCATCACAACAAGAGCATTTAGTCATCAAAAGCGTCGTCATCAAGCCCTCCTTGGCAAGATGGCATCAAAGAGTAGGACATCCGTCATCAATCATAGTTGAGCAAGTAGTCAATCAAGGCAATCTTCTATTTTCAGGTAGTGAAAATAAAGAGTCTGTTTGTGATGCTTGTCAGTGTGCCAAGAGTCACCAACTCTTTGATGACATCTTGCCAAGGAGGGTTGACGATGGAGTAGGCTTGACACAACGCTTTCGACTAAATGCTCCTCATGTGATGGCGTGAAGTCCTCCGATGCATCTACCGCGATGGAGTTCCCTTGTTGCCCCAATCCTTTAAAAGAAAATATTTAGGATGAGTTTCAAAGAATACATTGTTATCGGCTGATAAGCGAGACATAGAAGCAAGATTTTGTTGGCTTGTGGAACATGGAGAACATCTTTTAATGGAAGATCACGTTTAGAAATAGGGCATTAATTGAAGCTTGACCAATGTGATGAATGTCCATACCTCCACCGCTTGCGGCGGTGTGTACTTGGTCGTTGCTGAAATACTTTCTCGTGGATGGCAAGCTTCTCAAGCTCACCTGTGATGTGGTCGGTCACCCCGGAGTCAGCATACCACACCGTGTTTCCTTGTTCCCGGAGAAAAGCAGCTACATGGCGTTCGTCGGGAACATAATTTTCATCAAACGGTGCCAACACTCAATTACCTCATGGCTTGGCTTCTTGCATAGTTGGCAGCGTGGTCTACCGGTGCAGGAGGATGATGTGTTCCTGATTCTAGCCGCGTGTGTGTTGTTGTTGCCACGCCCATGCACGCCGATGTTGCAGCCATGTCCTTGGTGACCACGGCCTGGGCTGCCACTACCACGGCCACGAGCCGCAGCATTGGCAGAAGACTGTTGTACGGGCGTCCCTTGGGAAAGGTTGAGTTGTGCCTCAAAGCTCATCGGCTGGCTGTAAAGCTCCAGGGGCGTGACAAGCTCGACGCGGTCAAGGGCTGAGACCACAAAGTTGTACTCAAGGTCCAGACCTGAGCAGACATAGGAGATGATCTCATGGTTGGAGAGGGGCACACAAGCGAGAGTGATCTCATCAGAGAGCACTTTGATTTGGGCGAGGTACTCCGTCATGCTGGAGTTAGCCTTCTGAAGGTTGACAAGCGCGATTCTGGTGTTCACGGACTCGGCTCGTGTCTGGGCAACGAACGTGGCATGGATGGCGCCCCACACCTCGGCCGAAGTCTGTAGCATGACGGCCTAGTCAAGCACTTCGCGGGACATAGAACCCATTAGATAGCCTTGTACATGCTGCTGCTGAGCGTACCAGATCGCGCGCGCATAGTTAACGTTCTGCTCTTCCTTCTCGTCGGTGGTGACGGTGATGGTGACGGGCGACGCTGGGCTTGCTGCGTCCATCTGTGCGCCCTTAATGTGGGGCAACACGATGGCCTTCCACAGGAGGAAGTTTGTCCTCGTGAACTTCTCTTATGGTGGTTGACCGAGGGACACAACGTTGGTGCTAGAGGAGGGAGCAAAGGTGGAAGATGAAGATTGGGAGGTCAGGGCACTCATGGTGCTGGCGAACGCGGAGGCGGTGGTGTCGGTCATGATTTCTCTTAGGAGCTTGGCTAGATGTGATCTACGATCTTATGAGGAAGCAGCTCTGGTACCATGTAAATATTATGGGAAGCATATCTCCTATCGTAGCAGGCCGCAGGTATTTATAGACTGAGGCGATCAGCCAGCCATGTCACATGGCATACAAGTTGAGGACGATCGCTAGGATGCGTCCAGATAGATGGGAGATCGAGAGGAGATCAAAACTATTTAACTAAATTCTATCTCTACTCTATCTATCTGTCTAACAAGCTCGCAGTTGCCCTACCTGGAAATGTTACTCCCAGCAGATGTGGCGGTAGGGTTCTCTGCAGCCACTGACATAGGTGTGGAGCTCCATGAGATATTGTCATGGTCCTTCAACTTCACGCTTGCTCCCAAAGAACAACTACCAATATCGATATGTATGTGCTCATCTTGAGTAGGGCAGTAACTTTTTACAACCTTGCACAAAGATTTAGGAGGTTATTTCACAATCCGGGTGTGTGTTATTTGGTACGGGTCTAACTGCAGCAGCGATTGCTGGAGGAGCTTCTGTGTTCCTGCTCGTGGATTCGTTCATTCTATGATGGTTTATGTGGAGACGAAGGCGTAATTCCCTCATGGTTTCGAGGGCTGGCCCTAAGCAATTCCGGTACCGGGACTTGGCTTGCCCAACCAACAACTTCTCCATGGAGAGGAAGCTCGGAGAGGGGCAGCTTTGGCACGGTGTACTGGGGAACAGACCTCAAGGTCGGTCATGATGGAGGATAACAATAGGTTGTTGTCAAGGAGCTCTTGAAGGGGTCCAGGCTAGGAGGAGTCAAGGACCTCCTCACGGAAGTCAACACCATTAGCAACACCAAGCACAAGAATCTGGTCAAGTTGCAAGGCTGGTGCGGCATAAGCAGATGGGACTTGATGTGCTGGTGCCTGAAGCAGCTGGATGATCATAGGCTCTTCCTTGTCTACGAATTGATGCCTCAGGGTGATCTCAACCATCACCTACATGACAAGGACGCGACAGTTCTGCGATGGCCAACCAGGTACAAAATAGTGAAGGGGATAGGATCGGCTCTTTTCTACCTCCACGAGTGTTGCGTACATCCTACATAGAGATATCAAGCCAGGCAACATACACTCTTGGATGATGATTACAATGCCAAGCTCGCCGACTTCGGGCTATCAAGGATTGGCAACAAAAACAACTCCTCACTGGTGACCACCACCGTGGGGACCAATGCGTACATGGATCCCAAGTTAAAAATATAAGGTGATGTCAAGTTCGACAGGAGCACCGATGTCTATAGCTTCGGGCTCATTCTATTGGAGATCGCGTGTGGGTGGCGCAACTCCAGGAAGGAAGTATGGGATCACTATAAAAGAAGTGGTCCCATGCTGGATGAGAATTCGGGAGGCAACTTCCATGGGGAGCAGATGAAGATGGTGGAGGCCACTGCTGATGAGAGGTTGGGAGGCGACTTTGATATGGAGCAGATGCAGCATGTACTTGTCATGGGCCTTTGGTGTCCCCTCCCCAACGGTGCAGAGTGACCTTCCATGCTGGAAGCAATGCAACTACAGGAAAAAGACGAGCTGCCTCACCTTACATCGTCAGCCACCACCACTTGTATTTAGTCTGATTATTATTAGCCAACATTTGAAATAATGCTATTGGGCAAATGTCCAGTGGGGAAGTTCCCAGTGAATGCACCCACAGGGCACATGCCTTAGATCCTGATCGAGCGATGAAAGTTTTTCTAGAAAAAAATGGCTTCAAAAGTAAACCTGTCAGGCAAAATGTTGCACTCCCCAATGAACTGCCCCCCCCCCCCTCCTCTTCAACTAAAGTTGCCACCCCCCTAGTGTTAGAGTTATATTATAAGTCATGTACCCCTTTGTATTTATCCCGTTATATAAGGGGTTTCCTGCATATGTTTCACATCTGTACATGTATATATATCGGCCTATGGCCTCATGGGCATACAAGTTGCATATTCCTAACATGGTATTAGAGCTAGGTTAACTTTTTTTGCACGCTGCAACTCGTGCGATTGATCCGTCTCTCCTCCCGATAGAGGCCGCAGCCTCGATCTCCTTGTCCCGCTCGGATCCCGTCCTGGATCGGATCGGGCCTCCTCTCCCGTTCTTGATCCTATAAGGATCGCTCGCAGCCCCTTCCCCGATCGATCGCAGCCCCTCCCCCGATCGAGAAGGACGCTCCCGCTCGAGCTCGCCCTTGTTCCAACTCGCACAGGCCCTGCTAGATCCCGCCGCTGCCTCCAGCTGCCAGCCGCCCCTTGGTCTGGATCGACTGCCTGCTGCTCCCCCGATCCCGTCCTGTTGCCGATTGGAAGCTGGTGGTCTCGTCCCTGCTGCTCTCGTCGGATTCTGTTGATTTTGGGTCTCTGCTAAAAAAGAAAAAAAAAGAAGATATGTCTGCTGCATCGGGCTATGTTGCTGTCCCTCGCTGTCCGTTGATTTTCGATGGTACTAACTACACCGAGTTCACTGGCTTTATGCGCATTCACATGCGTGGCATTCGTCTCTGGGGTGTTCTTTCTGGCGAGGTCTGCTGTCCGCCACGTCCGGTTCCTCCGGTGGCCCCTACTCCGCCGACTCCACTGGTTCTTGCTCCGGATGCTAATCAGGCCGCCAAGGATGCGGCTAAGCTTGCTGATGAGGCTGCTGATCGTGCTTATGATGAGAAGGTTTTGGCTTATGAGGAGGCTCTTCAGATTTATCATGGTGCTCTGTCTGCTTACACCCAGTGGCTTGATGATGATGCTCGTGCTGCTGCTGTTCTCACTGCTAGTGTTCTGCCTCAGTTTGCTTTTGAGTTTCTGGGTCTTCTTACTGTCTTTGAGATGTGGACCCATCTTCGTCAGCGCTATCAGCCCTCTGGTGATGCCTTATACCTTTCTGTGGTCCGTCAGGAGCATGCTCTTCAGCAGGGTGACTCTACTGTTGATGACTTCTATGCACAGAGTTCTGCTATCTGGCGCCAGCTTGATTCTCTTCGCAGTGCTGGTTGTCGTACCTGCCCCTGTTGCCAGGCTGTCCAGGCCAATTTGGAGTTTCATCGCGTCTATGAGTTCCTGTCTCGGCTCCGTAAGGAGTTTGAGCCCCGGCGTGCTCAGTTGTTTGCTCGTGGCCGTATTTCTCTCATGGAGGCGCTTTCTGAGATTCGTGCTGAGGAGACTCGCTTATGTGGTGCTGGTTTGCTGGAGGTTCCCTCTGTGCTCGCTACTCGTGCTCCTACGCCACCTGCTGCACCGACCCCTTCTCGCTCGAGTGCTCCGCCGCTCTTGCCCACTCCTTCTGGAGGCTCAGGTCGCCCCCGTCCACATTGCGACTACTGCACAATGATGGTCATCTTGAGTCTCAGTGCTACACGAAGAAGAAACACCTACGCAAGGCGCGATCATCATCTTCAGGGACTTCGTCATCTACCTCGATAGCTTCAGCCATTACTTTGACTGAGCAGGATATTCTGAGACTTAAGCGTCTGCTCGCGGCTTCAGGTTCTTCCTCGACGGTACTGCTGGTTCTGTGACTGATGCTTCCCGCACTGAGCAATCGCCCTCTACATAGTCAGGTACATCCCCATGGGTTCTGGACTCTGGAGCTTCTTTTCATATGTCTTCTCATTCTTCCATTTTGTCCTCTCTTCGCTCGCTGGATTCTCCTGTTCATGTCCTCACTGCTGATGGTACTCCACTTTCTGTCGTTAGTAGAGGCACTCTTACCACTCCTTACTCTGTTCCTGATGTTGCTCATGTTCCTCGACTCACGATGAATCTGTTTTCTGCTGGTCAACTTACTGATTCTGGTTGTCGCGTCATCCTTGACGTTGACTCTTGTTCTGTCCAGGACCGTCACACGCACACTCTGGTTGGGGCTGGCCCTCGCCGCCGTGATTCTCAGGGTCTTTGGGAGTTGGACTGGCTTCATGTTCCTTCTGCTGCCACCACTATCGCCAGTTCCTCCGCTTCAGTCACCTCTGTTACTGGTTCCTTCAAGCAGTGGCATCATCGACTTGGTCATCTGTGTGGTTCTCGGTTGTCGTCTTTAGTTCGTCGAGGCCTTCTGGGGTCTGTCTCAGGAGATGTCTCTTTAGAGTGTCAGGGTTGTCGTCTTGGCAAGCAGATTCAGTTACCATATTCACATAGTGAGTTAGTGTCTAAGCGTCCTTTTGATTTAGTCCATTCTGATGTATGGGGTCCGGCTCCTTTCGCTTCCAAAGGTGGTCATAAATACTATATTATTTTCATAGATGACTTCTCTCGTTACACATGGCTTTATTTCATGACTTCTTGTAGTGAGGTGTTGTCTATTTATAAGCGTTTTGCTGCCATGGTTCATACTCAGTTCTCTTCACCCATTCGTGTTCTTCGTGCTGACTCTGCTGGCGAGTATATCTCTAAGATGTTGCGTGGTGTTCTTGCTGAGGAAGGCACTCTCTCTCAATTCTCTTGTCCTGGTGCTCATGCTCAGAATGGTGTGGCTGAGCGAAAGCATCGTCATCTTCTTGAGACGGCTCGTGCATT